GAAGGTCAACCTGGAGAAAAGTCTAGCATGTTTCTATATCTTATGAACATAAACTACCGGGCTGATTTCAATGAAAGTTTACAGATATGGTAATTACCCCCTGATGTCGTGCATCAGAGTAGTATTTTTTCATTTCAACCATTTTTAAAGAGTTATGGTCCTTTGTTTAAAATCTTTGTCTAGACAACTCTTTTTTTACTACTAGGACGATTTCAAGAAAACTTGTTCATCTTGGCTAACAAGATTTGGTATGCAAGAATGTTTTGGTATTGGGAGGGAGTACAGGAATTATGTCAGTGACCTATATACTTAAGTTATCACTGATGGGTGACTAATGGATTGCTTTGCAATGATTTGCCTTAGTTAGCCTTTAGCTTACAGTTCTGGTTTATATTGGAGCGGGAGGGATAAGTAAACCTTTGGCGTACAGTTCTAGTTATCATTTTGTTTTGCCTATTGCCCATTTATTAAACAAAATGTGAAGGAATACTACATTATTTTATATCGTTAACACTTAAAAAATAAAGCAAGGAAACATATCCTTGTCAGACAATTTTTTTAGCAATTTTGATTTTTGTGACCTAAACGAAGGTCAAGGTCACCAACGTTTACAGACTTAAATCCATTCACATGAACAACCTACTTGCCAAATATTAAGACCCAAGGACCTTTGGTCATGAAGAAACACAAGTTGAAGGAAAAGTGGAAAGAAATCATGAAGAAACACAAGTTGAAGGAAAAGTGGAAAGAAAGCTGTGTTCCTTTTTTTAATCAAAAGTGTTATATGACAAATTTACCGGTTGTCAATGTTTTTGAAATTACTGATGTTGAAAGATATTATTAGTAGCCAACTTTTAAGCAAGTATGAAAAATAGACTTTTTTTAAAACTATGTAAATTAAAGTGTCAAAAAAGGAAATTTTCTCATTAGTAATGAAATTTCGCATACTTTTATACTTAAATCTTCAATAAAATGAACAATTCATTCTTGAAACAGTGCTATATTTGGTATCAAAATAACAGTTGGAATATGTTGCACACGATGATGATACAAGTTTACAATATTTGTGTCATTTAAATGCTCTAGGAGGAATTGTATAACCGACCTTTAACACCCACACAGGTGTAAGTCAAAGACGTCCAATACTATTTATCATAAAATGAATTAACTGTCCCTGATTTAAGCTTCCTATACCCATACCTTTTTGGATTTATCTTGTTTTGAAATTCCAAGCAGGGGCCAACGCTAATGTTAAATCTCCATAGGCGTTGACCCTACCTTTCAGGAACACTTTTTCTGAACATTAGCTATCAAGGGCGCCTAAAACATTTTGTCTCATTATTTCACCAATGCAGGCATCATTAAAACATGGAACAAAATGCCATTATTTTCACTCAAACACAAAGGATCCTATAGCTCTAGGAACCACAACCCACTCACTTCTGGTATAAAAGAAATGTACAAAAGCATGCAATGCTAAAATGAAAATGGTTTCTTTTTTTTAACATTTTTGTAAAACCTTTTTTCATTGTTAGTATTAATGGAGTTCTTTACGTTTTTAGCTCAGTTTAAATTCTGTAGATCTGTTGTTAAATTATAGGCCAGTATGGAAGATATCTTCCAACACAGGAAGAATGATGGCAAGAGAGGAAGACAGCTGTCATCAGGCATTTGTTAAACATTCCTGAAATTAGCTTCCAGACAATATGTATTGGAATTCATTGTTATGTATTTATGAACATAACCTGACGAGGTTTCATGGGTATTGAACCCTTTCGGCCTTATTACAGGTTACATGTAGTTATTACATGGACATTCTTGACCAATCAGATGCAGCCAACCCATTAAAATAATTGTTAAACTTATATCAAAATACTTCATTTCAGTCTTCCTATGCACGTTTGCTGACAAATGTTTTGAAGGGACCCGGGGTTGCATACATTTGTATCACTGTGAAAAGCCCTGAACAGCATCTGTTGTTGAACTTTCGATTCTCTTGGGCAACCCAAATACTAAGTTTGAACTACCATTTTGTTCTTCAGGAAGTGTACATGTATGGACAAGAAATGTAACTGGACAGAAGGACAGATAGGCAGACCTCACAGACCACTGCTACATCCTCCTAACGTCGGGTGAGGGGGGTTTAACACTAGTAATGTTATCACACAGAAATTGTAGGGCTCAATCTTTACAAAGCTGCACCAAATTTATTGAAAAATAAATAATTGGTATGATATAAATAGGGAGAAATCAGAAATTAGCGAAATGTAAGGTCCATGAAACAGGCTAGAATATGAAAACCATGAAATTTTAACACCACGAAAATAAATGATTTTACAGTAGCTAGTTAAAACATCCAATTACATAATGATAACATTCACGTCATTTATCACGTCTACTTAACAACGCAATGAACTTTGACCCCTTCGGATGGCCTCATTTATGTTTTTAGAGTTTTGCTTTATTTTAGTCTTAAAACCTAAAGCCAATGGTGATGTTGCTTTATCAAACCTAAGAAAAGTTATTTCATCCCATTTTGTCAAATTTGAAAATCCAAGGTCACATTCACGTATCCAGGTTAAAACGCCAATTCAGGTGGTGCAAAAATTTTCTACGATAAACAAACACCGAACCGAACTGTTGGCAGAGATAGAAATATGCAGTTTTGGAGAATAAATAACAATATATCAAGAATAATATGTCCTTCTGTCACACGGTCACGGTATATAACGTACGTATCTTAAAATCTACATGTGGATAGATCTGTTTTATAATCTACATGTGGATAGATCTGTTTTATAAAGAAATGACACAAACCAGCAATAGTCAGCATTTTAGTTTCGGTCAGGCAGGACTGGACCCCTCAATATACATGTGCCAATTATTCTTGAGGTCAGCCTTGGTTCAGATCTGTGCCTGTTATTTTCTTTCAGGTCCAACCATTTCAACTGGTTGAACCGGATACGGGAAAGGGGCCCTAATGAACAGCTGACAATGATAAATTGTGAAGGGAGTTATAATCAGAATAAAACCCTTTGTTGTGATGAGCTAAAAATGTTGAATTTCACACAGACTTGTTTTACTGAGCAATTGACGGTAAAAGTCTCAATGCTGGCATGCTGTTCAGAGGTCACAGAGTACAACCACACTAACTTTTCTGGTTTTCACTAATTATTTCTGCAGTACTGACTCCATGGGGACAATTGCTGGCTGTAATGTTGCCCACACAATTGCTTTCCAGCTGTATTTACGACACAGCTATATCCACAATTAACCCTTTCACCACTGTAGACCATAATGGAGTCATCCAGATTAATGCATAGTAGAGTCTACTAAAGTTACCTAGGGGTGAAAGGGTTAACACCTGACATATTACATCTCCTGGCCAGTACACTTCTCTCAGGGACATTCAACAAAAGTCTGATTCTAACAGCACTGAAACTGCTACAGTGATATATGTATATCAATACACAAATCTAGCATTACCTCAAACTGCCCAAGTGATAATACCTATACACTATCCGAGCAGTACGGAAACTATTCTCTATTTTAGCTGTACCTGGAACAGTTACTGGTTTTTTGGGGTGTTTTTTTAATGTTTTTTATTATCTTTCTGCATCTTATACATGATGTACATTGCCATAATTAGACAATACCCAACTGTCACCAATTACAGCCAAGGGTGGCTAGTTATAATCTAGAGTTTCAAATTTGCTAGTTAAGTAATATAACATAAAACTTTGTCAGAGCCATAGGGATTAGTTTAATAGTTCTCGCGAAATTTGAGTAGCCAGAAATGTCAGCCTATCAGAAATCAAGGTGGCCATCTTGGATATCGATTGGCATGGGGAAAAAAAGTCTGAACATTTTACTTATCTTTCAATTTGCTGATTTGATCAGTGGATGTAAATTGTAGTGATTTGCTTAATAAAATGCTTTCTGCAACATAAGTTAATCAAGATATCCTAGAGAGATCTTGGCGCCCACCATCTTGACATCTTCATTAGTTCTATTTCAGTTTGATCTTTTTTCTTCTTTTCTCTTATCTGTTTGATCAGTTTGCCTGTCCCCCATCTTAATCAGTCTTTTGTCACCTCAAAAATTAACATGCACACCTAAGGACCAAGGGGATAACCTACATATCAAATTTGAGAAAGATTCCTCAAGTACATTCTGAGATATAGTCAATACGACCATCTGCCGACCATCTTGGCCTTCCAAATCATCCCCAAAATGTGTAACAAGAGACCATGGGGAACTTTCATATAAAATTTGAGAAAGACCCCTCTAGTACTTTCTGAGAAATAGCACTAATAAACTTTAACTCTCAAATTCAAGATGGCTAGCCATCTTGGTTTTGCAATCAGTCCCAAAAAACGATATGCATAATGAAGGATCATGGGGGGAACCTTCATGTGAAAATGAAGTACTTTCTGAGAAATAGTGATAACAAGAATTGTTTAACTCATTGACCCCTGAAACTTCATAATGAGCTATTCCAACCTTTAATTGGATGAGTTCAAATGTGTCTTCAGGGGTGAATGAGTTAAGGACGAACAGAATGATGGATGGACGGATGACGACTCACGGATGCAGAATAATTTGAATAGCCCAACATATGGTGATGGCTGGCTAAAAATTGTGTGATTTTAGTATTTGTTAAGATTTTTCTTTCCTGATTTAGTGACTCTTTCAATATTTAACTTACACTTTCATGTTTTCTTAGGACTAAAAATCTTGTTTAATGAACATTTTAAGACAACCCATCAATTTCAGAGTCTTTTCAGTTCTGTATGATTTTTGTATAACAATGGGCAATATTAAGAATCATTTAATTACTAGATGAGGTGTGAGTTTTGGTGCAGTGTTTCTCTGTACTGAATAAATATGTGTTCTACGCTGTAACAAAAAATACATATACATGTAATAACAGCAAAAAATTGATTAATTATGAAAAACAGCAAAAACAAGTAATTTATAGGGTTTCTTCCCTGACTGACCTGTTTGAACTTGCCATTATACATCTTTTTGATCTGCTGCCTCTGGACATTACATCGTTGGGTGAGAATCTCTGTGATCTGCGCCTCGTCTAGCCCATATTTCCCCAAGGCGTCGTTAAGCTTGTCACAATCGTCGTCGGGATGGAAGGACTTGCTTGGCTTCACAGTGCCACTGATATTATTCTTCAACATTTCTTTCTCCTTCTTCTGTCCCTTCGAATTCTCTCTCTCCCTAGCCTCCCTCTCTCTTTCACGTGCTATTTCCTGCCCTTGGCGCTGGCTGACAACCTCAGCAGTGATACGCTGACTGGGTGCAGCAAGGGGGTTTCGGGGGGTGTTGGCCTCCTCCTCCTTTGTCTGGGCATTAGGAGGACGTTTGGTGGTACGTTTAGCAGCTCCCAAAGGCACAGGTGGTTTGCTCTATGGAGGGAATCGTAATCATTTTAACATCATATATCATAATTTACATTACATTGTTACATCAATGTATTAGGGGTTTTGTGTTTTTATAACTGATGAAGAAATTTGGCAATCAAGATTTTGAAACAATCTGATAAGTATAGAAACTCCAATTCACTTTCAATATTTCCCAACTCAAAGGAGGCAGATCATTCCAAATTTGCCTGACTACATAAACAATCAAATAAAGCAGAATAGCGACTATTTGAAAGATGAAATTTACTTCTAATGCATAATCCTGAACTGTACCTAACGCTTCACAAAGTTCAGTGATCAGGAAAGTCCACAGAACAATATTACTTGGGATTTACATCAAACTCATATAAAATATTGTGTTGTTTATTCTCATATCAAAAGGTTACAAAAGTATGTTGATCCAGCCCAAGATAAGAATCAGACATGCACGCCACCTCAGTCAACCTGTACACAATCAATCTACATATTTTAAATTGTAGTGTCATCAATTTCCCTCAACTCTGTCCAAATCTTAATCTTTAAACTAAGTAAGCAAGAAAAAGTCAATTAATTGAATAAATACAAGTCACATGTGTTAACATGCTTAAAAGGACTTACATTCAAATGTTGAAGTTGTTCCACTTACATGTTGAACTTATTTTATTTTTTTCATCATAAAGAATTGAGATACATGTCTTTAACACCCCAACCCCCTTAAAACAACAATGACCAAATATAGATATTTATTTTTGAATGTCATGCCAAGATTCATCTATCAAACCTATGGTAGCAAACATCAGTACAGATTAAACTAACCACTAGTATATAATGTACATTTTGTGGTACCATAGTGTACAGGTATCATTTTCCTGCTCATACTTGCTGTAGTACCACAGCATGTAGGTATCTATAGGTTCTGCTTAGTCCAATCTCTACTACGTCATAAACAACATGACACAAACATATCAGTTTGCCTGCCTAGCCCGCTGTGCGCTATGGTCAAGCATTTAATTGATGTGTTTCAAAAATAACATACATTGACAAACGTTCATACACAAAAACCTCTTACATATGCAATTCTAATGCTATTATTATACATATATATCAATCCGTACTTTTATCTTTCTCATGTGTATCTTTCCCCTTATGATACACAAGATAAAACACAAGTGCGATATAGTAGAGAATAGGAAACCGAGCGAGCCACCCAACCTGAAAATAACTTGTAAACCAGACAAGTCAGGAAGTGCACCAGCCCTTCAAGGCTCGAAACTTCAAGTTGCTGGGATTGCTCTACCATATCCATGTTACGCTAATCCGCTGACCCTGCCAAAAGCTATATTATCAAAATTTAATATGACCGTCGCGCTGGAAAGGCAGCTAGAAAATCAGCTAGAAAATCAGCTAGAAAATGACCCTCGTACCCGATACGCTGACATGTATCGCACATGCTACATACAGAGCCAATCTGATTGGCTAAGCACACTCGGCAATATCCGTATCAAACCGATAAGACAAATAATTCCCGCTATTCTCCGAACCACGGGAATATGTTATTACTGCTGTATTGCCACAGCTTATCACTGCTGTAGTGCCTCAGCCAGGGCTCACTGGTACCAATCTGTCCTGTCCACACTCACAGAAGGTAATTACTGTACAGTCGGGAGTATTATAACCCCTACTAATTAACTCAGACACTCTCCCAACAGTACAAATCACAAGCGCAGCGCTTCAAACCTATCACAAATTAATTAACAGGAGCCTTTCTAATGTACATATATAGCTAGCTTATGACTAGCTGGCACTGATCAGTGTTGTACATAACCTTGTGAGGACAACTACCTCTAGGTACTTATTTCTGAGCTGAACTCAGGAGATGCTGGGACAGTCTCCGGAATTGTAAGGCTACATTCTCTGACAAATATCTTGTGTGTATTAAGCTACACTGGAAAACATTAGATAACCATCTGAATTCTCAATCTATAATGCTATAATTTCGGAATTTCAACATTGATTACAAGAACAGGTAGTTCAATTTTCATACTTCAGACATAAGTAAATCTATCGTTTATGTAAGATTCAGGGAAAAGGTGATGAAGTCTGTAACAAGTAAATGGTTAAAATCTCAACTGTGCATTTTTTTAAAAATCTCACTGCTAAAATAAAGCATTTGCTTGACTGTATCATATGACCCCTTATGGCCTTAGTGATCACTATAACATCAAAGGAATATTGGTTATAATGGATTTAACAAGTACATGTTTATGTATTACAACTAAGTACATGTATGAACAAAATGAGATTGTGGAACATACATGTATACTGTAGCTTGAAATCATGGATTATAGTGTCTGTCCTTTTACACTGAAGACTTCCACTAACCATTTACCACCAAGGCTGAGCAAAATTGTACCAATAGAACAATACATATATAGCCACTTATGTCTCAGCCAATCAAATGCAACAGATGGTGGCCATCTTGGATTTCAGGATCCAGGAAATATCTCAACAAAAAGCAATTGACCGATATGAATATCTCACATGAAGGTCACTGTGTGTTTGTGTGACTATTTTTTGTGAAAGTTGCTTATATTATAGAACTGCAGGCAAGATAAAGAGTCATAGTGGGGAATATTTAAAAGACAGACTCCTATACGTACAAGAGGGACATCAAAACTCACTTCTTCACGTCTGCATTTTAGAATCCTTGCAAAGACGTCATGTAAATACCACCCTTTTATTTGTTCAATTATGTGCACATTGCTTGCTTAAATGTATAAAAGTGATTGTAAGCCTTTGTTTTTTGTTTTCACAATTAAAACCATTACTATTATCCATATGTTGTAAAGCGCTTTAGAGTAATTTTACAAATTATAAAAATATATAAATTTTGTATATTATTATTATTATTACATTGTCTGACAATTGTTAAGGAGAGGCTGAACATGTGTCACTTGTCTTAAACAACTTTGTTTGGGACAAATTTTATTCTCATTAAGTATAATGTGGAGAAAACACTCCTCTTGACATCAAGCAGTGACCTTTACAATTTCAAATTAATCAATGATTTCCGGTTCTGACATTTTTCTTTATTTTTATTGACAATATTTTCACAACATGACAAGTTCATGGAAAGCTAGTAGTTTGTTGTAGCTATTGAGATTAAAATTGAGAAATGAAATATCAGAACAGTGAAAGTAAGATGGCATTAATTTACAGTGGGAGCAATTGGTAAAATATATCACAACACTGGAAAATGGAACATTGCAGTCCTGAAGTTTTGTGATTTTTATGCTTAAATTTTGAAGTTTACTGTGGATAAAGACAGCACAATTGTTTGATTTAACTGGCTGATGAGATATATCAATATAATTTAATTTTGACTACCTCCCAATGAAAGAGGGGCGGGGACACAAAGAAGGAAGCAAGAGGACAGGGAAACAGAGGAGGATCAAGGCAGATGAAAGTGACTAGAAAGAGGAGGAAGCAGATGAAGAAGATGTGCAAGAGGAGGAATAAGATGAAGGAAATGAATGAGAGATTAGGAAGCAGGTGAAATAGACTAGACAGAGGAAGAATAGATGAAGGAGATAAATGGAAGAAGAACCAGATGGAGCAGAGGAGGAAGTAGATGAAAGTGACAAAAGAGAGGAGAAAGCCAATAAAAAAGACAAAAGAGAAGAGGAAGTAGATGAAAAAGAAAAATTAAAGAAGGAAGCCAATAAAAAAGACAAAAGAGAGGAGGAAGCAGGTTTAAGAGAGGAGACAGATGGAAGTAGATGAAGAGGCCAAGACAGACGAAGCTGATGATGGAGAAGAGACCAGTTAATCAAGCAAAGGAGCCAATACAAAGGAGGAAACAGATAGAGAAGACAAGACAGTTTATTGTGTTGACCGCAAGAGATATATATTTGTGAGTATTGGAAGAGCACAATGGTTGGCTGACATAAATAGCACAGGAAGCAGACTTTGGTTAAGTTATTACCACAGCTAGACATGTAATCATCTGTTGTAATTGTTTTACAGGAGCTTGCCATGTTTCTTGGTTGCACAACGAGGAAACATGCCAGTCAACCATTGTGATACTGTAATTAGTCAGCACGATGCAATTTATGGGGAAACGCATTGTGCAAGTGTCAAATTAGTGATTATATTAAAGGTCCTATCCAATAGTTGTTACCACTGAATTTTTATATGTAAAAATCAAACTTGATCAAATTTCCAATGCTGCTTTATTTGTGGAAGTTAATTCAAATAGAACAAACTCCTTCCATATCTCTTTTACAGGTGGCAGTTCTATATAATTATCTCTTTCCTACCCTTGTGTTAAAGATGCTGTAGTGTTGTGGACGTTGCAGTGACATGAGTGCTGTGGTAATGCAGATGCTGTGGGGTCAATGATGTTGTGTGATGGACGCTGTGTGGTCTCTTATGTTGTTGTGTCATGGACGCTGTGGGGTCTCTGATGTTGTTGTGTCATGGACGCTGTGTGGTCTCTGATATTGTTGTGTCATGGATGCTGTGTGGTCTCTGATATTGTTGTCATGGACGCTGTCGGGTCAATGATGTTGTGTCATGGATGCTGTGTGGTCTCTGATGTTGTTGTGTCATGGACGCTGTGGGGTCAATGATGTTGTGTCATGGATGCTGTGTGGTCTCTGATATTGTTGTGTCATGGATGCTGTGTGGTCTCTGATATTGTTGTGTCATGGACGCTGTGTGGTCTATGATGTTGTTGTGTCATGGACGCTGTGTGGTCTCTGATGTTGTTGTGTCATGGACGCTGTGTGGTCTCTGATGTTGTTCGGTCTTGGACGCTGTGGGGTCTCTGATGTTGTTGTGTCTTGGACGCTGTGTGGTCTCTGATGTTGTTGCGTCATGGACGCTGTGGGGTCTCTGATGATGTTGGGTCTTGGACGCTGTGGGGTCTCTGATGTTGTTGTGTCATGGACGCTGTGGCGTGTCTGATGTTGTTGTGTCATGGACGCTGTGTGGTCTATGATGTTGTTGTGTCATGGACGCTGTGTGGTCTCTGATGTTGTTGTGTCATGGACGCTGTGTGGTCTCTGATTTTGTTGTGTCATGGACGCTGTGGCGTCTCTGATGTTGTTGGGTCATGGACGCTGTGGGGTCTCTGATGATGTTGTTTCATGGATGCTGTGTGGTCTCTGATGATGTTGTGTCATAGACGCTGTGGGGTCTCTGATGATGTTCGGTCTTGGACGCTGTGTGGTCTCTGATGTTGTTGTGTCATGGACACTGTGGGGTCAATGATGTTTTGTCATGGACGCTGGATGCTGTGGGGTCTCTGATGTTGTTGTTTCATGGACGCTGTGGGGTCTCTGATGATGTTGGGTCTTGGACGCTGTGGGGTCTCTGATGTTGTTGTGTCATGGTCGCTGTGTGGTCTCTGATGTTGTTGTGTCATGGACGCTGTGGCGTCTCTGATGTTGTTGTGTCATGGACGCTGTGGGGTCTCTGATGTTGTTGTGTCATGGATTCTGTGGGGTTTCTGATGTTGATGTGTCATGGACGCTGTGGGGTCTCTGATGTTGTTGTGTCATGGACACTGTGGGGTCAATGATGTTGTGTCATGGACGCTGGATGCTGTGGGGTCTCTGATGTTGTTGTGTCATGGACGCTGTGTGGTCTATGATGTTGTTGTGTCATGGGCGCTGTGGCGTCTCTGATGTTGTTGGGTCATGGGCGCTGTGGCGTCTCTGATGCTGTTGTGTCATGGACGCTGGATGCTGTGGGGTCTCTGATGTTGTTGGGTCTCTGATGTTGTTGTGTCATAGACGCTGTTAAGTCTCTGATGTTGTTGTGTCATGGACGCTGTGGGGTCTCTGATGTTGTTGTGTCATGGACGCTGTGGGGTCAATGATGTTGTGGGGTCATGGACGCTTTGATGTGTTGAGCAATTTGTTGACATGTGTGGTGTAGATGTTATATTAAGTTGATGCTGTCTTGAGTGGTGCTGTTGTAATGGCTGCTGTTTAACACTTTGCCACATGTAAGTGCCTCTGGACGTCCCCACATCAACTTCATGTAAGTGTTGACTCTGGACATTGCTTTTGTGGTGTCACATGAGCTGTGGTGGGATGGTGCTGTGTTCAATATGTCAACAAGACTTATGTAGAGACTTTGATGCTGTGGTGAAGTCAGTGGGGGCTGCAGTCTGTTAGTGCTTTAATGGTCAGTTGGGGCTGAAGTGAGGTGGATACTGTGGTAACATTGTTTCTGAGGTGACATTAGTACTGTAGACAGTAGGGGCCCACTATGGTTCTGTAGTTGTTGTAGACAGCTGATGTTGTAATGATGTGTGTTGGGGCTGTAGGTGGTGACATTAGTACTGTAGTCAGCAGCGGCTCACTATGGTTCTGTAGTTGATGTAGACAGCTGATGTTGTAATGATGTGTGTTAGGGCTGTAGGTGGTGACATTAGTACTGTAGACAGTAGGGGCTCACTATGGTTCTGTAGTTGCTGTAGACAGCTGATGTTGTAATGATGTGTGTTGGGGCTGTAGGTGGTGACATTAGTACTGTAGACAGTAGGGGCTCACTATGGTTCTGTAGTTGATGTAGACAGCTGATGTTGTAATGATGTGTGTTGGGGCTGTAGGTGGTGACATTAGTACTGTAGACAGTAGGGGCTCACTATGGTTCTGTAGTTGATGTAGACAGCTGATGTTGTAATGATGTGTGTTGGGGCTGTAGGTGGTGACATTAGTACTGTAGACAGTAGGGGCTCACTATGGTTCTGTAGTTGATGTAGACAGCTGATGTTGTAATGATGTGTGTTGGGGCTGTAGGTGGTGACATTAGTACTGTAGACAGTAGGGGCTCACTATGGTTCTGTAGTTGATGTAGACAGCTGATGTTGTAATGATGTGTGTTAGGGCTGTAGGTGGTGACATTAGTACTGTAGACAGTAGGGGCTCACTATGGTTCTGTAGTTGATGTAGACAGCTGATGTTGTAATGATGTGTGTTGGGGCTGTAGGTGGTGACATTAGTACTGTAGACAGTAGGGGCTCACTATGGTTCTGTAGTTGATGTAGACAGCTGATGTTGTAATGATGTGTGTTGAGGCTGTAGGTGGTGACATTAGTACTGTAGACAGTAGCTATATGGGCTCACTACAGTGCTGTAGTTGCTGTAATGATGTCTGTTGTGGTAAGTGGGTGCTTGGTACTGTGTTTGATAGTCTTAGAATTCCAATAGTCTGTAAGTAACAGAACCTACAGAAAACTACTTTGTCCTCATAAGCCACACAGATTGTCGTATTCATTCGGTCAACATTGTTTTACCAAGTAAAGCACTGTGTTCTCACGAAAATCGCACAAAAGAAAACAAATTCTACAGAACAAATCATATCTATTTAGCTAAATGCATATTCTTTCCAATCAGTTTCAAATATAAATAAGTAGTATTGATTTTTTCACGACCTTGATATTTAGATATTTCATGATGAATATTGAAGCAAATGACAGAAAATTTCTCAGCTAAACCTACATGTGAGAAGAATAGGATGATGAAAAGAAGCACATCAATAACTGTGAAGTATTCCACAGAAATATTACTGTTAAAGACTAGCACTGACAAGGCTTTGAACGACTAGCGACAGTGACAGCTGGTTTGTTATCTAGCTTATAGCAGCTCTCACACAGTAATCACAACCCGTACAGCTCTCCTTTGTCACTATAAAAGTGGAAATTTATGAGGTGTGGAACGTTAGCAGTTTTTCAGGTTATGTAGATTAGCACCAAAATTTCCACACAGGAATATTTTTTAATAGTTTATAAATACATTATAGAAACATTGTCAACGCAAACAAATCCACACCACGAACATAAAGAGTCACACTGCCAAAATGTCCTCTTTTATAGTATCTAGCTTAGCCCTTTCACCACTGTGGACCATAATGGACTCATCCAGATCAATGCATGGTAGAGTTGACTAAAGTTACATAGGGGTGAAAGGGTTCAAGCTACTCTAGTCCACCACACCTATATATACTCAGGGACAGTGATTAAGCTGCAACTTATATTCTACTTCACAACTTTTCATAAATCATTTATCATGGAAACACCGACGCCTTTATTGGAGGAAGCCTCTGCAGTGAGCAAAAGCATCCTCGGTTATATAAAGAACAGAAAACCAAATACAATACTATTTAACTATGACTTTGATTTGACTTATGCAATCTACTCTATGACAACCAAGTCTTAAATGTATTTTGAACATTTGTTGTCGATTTCACAACAGAATTATATTTAATAAAATTGCATAATATCATATATTACCGTATGCAACAAATAATTTTGTATACTTGATATATGGTAATTGTGAAACAGAAGCTCAGACAAGCCTCTGGCAACTTTGGTACATTTAGAGACAATTCAGCTGGATGAAAAGTCAATATTCTGTTTACGTGTAAATGACCAGCAATGACAATGGTGAAGGACTTTACCATGTAGGACAGCAGAAACTACAATAAGATCAATACAAATGAGGTATTCGTGTGAGGCATGCAATCTGCATTCAACAATGTCAAAACAGGACAATTGTTACTATAAATGGATCAAACATGAATTATAATGTGACCATTACATCTGTGTGTCCCCAATCAGAGGATATTGTATGAGGGACACATCCATCACACAAGTCAACAGTCACCTACACTAAAAGGCTTCAGGCATTCTATTTTGATTTGGCCAGAAATAGATTTTATAACAAACCATTTCTATTTCAACATTTCCTATGCTGTAACAACAAAACGAAATTGGATTTCGCAAATCTAAGAGATGGAATGAAGCCACTGAAAACGGAAGACTCTGAATACAGGCAAATCATGCTCCGTGGCAGTGAGGCTTCCACGGAGTAAAACATGCTATTATACAATGTCTCTAATGAAATAAAGCTTTTATTCCAAAACTACCAGTGGAATCCCATAGCTGCAAGGAACAAAGTGATTTATTTATGCAGCTGCTGTAGCAGATACATTATATAACTGTCTCTTGCTGTGGGGGTCTAGTTGCTTGATTCGATAAAACAATACTCCTGTGTTCTTTATAGTGGGTCAAAGTTATTTATTTGAGCATTTCTAATAAGAGTTGTTTCTCAGCAAGATACAGGCAAAATATCAAGATACTCAAAGTCTAATGATTCTGAAGAAGTTTTTAAAGAGTAATTTGACGTCAGAAAAATGCCAGATCATTACATATAAGCACATATGCACTTGAATTCATTGTGAGCTAAAACTAACAAGTTTTACAAAACAGATATCCAGTAACTATCAGTCTACAAGGACCCTTAATTTCTCCAGTTACATGTATATCAAGTTTGTAAAGCCTATTACGTTTAATGAACACTTGTTTATCTGATGCCTAATTATAAGGAGTTAAGAAACCTAAAATAGATAAAAGCAAATATAGATACCATAACCATACAGAGATTAGGTTGGGTATTGTAATTTCTTACCTTGATGTTAACACAAAGTTCACCATTGTAAATCTTTATTTTTACCTTCCACATTTCCTATTTTTGTACTGTCCCCTATGGGGTGGGGGGATAGGATTACATGTTCCTATGCTTTTCCCCCTGCCCCTGAGGATAGGAGCACATGTTCCTATGTTTTTTGCCCCTGCCCCTGGGGATAGAATCACATGTTCCTATGTTTTTGCCCCTGCCCCTGAGGATAGGAGCACATGTTCCTATGTTTTTTGCCCCTGCCCCTGGGGATAAAATCACATGTTGCTATGTTTATGCCCCAGCCCCTTGGTACCTACCTTTTTGCCCTGTCCCTGGGGTATCTTGTTGATGAGCTCTATCAGGACGTTGATAGTGGGGTGGTTACATTTGTGTTTCAGGTCATCTACCAGCTCTGCATCATACTTCTTCTTGTATGCCCGCTTTATTGTAGGCATGTCAATCTGGAACAGTTCGTTAATGTTTAGATGACAAGTCACAATCTTAACTGGAAGCATTACAATCTGGAACAGTTCGTTAATGATTAGACGACAAGTCACAGTCTTAACTGCAAGCATTACAATCCGGAACAGTTCGATAATGTTTAGACAACAAGTCACAATCTTAACTGCAAGCATTACAATCCGGAACAGTTCGTTAATGTTTAGACGACAAGTCACAATCTTAACTGCAAGCATTACAATCTGGAACAGATCGTTAATGATTAGTCGACAAGTCACAGTCTTAAATGCAAGCATTTCAATCTGGAACAGATCGTTAATGTTTTTAGACGACAAGTCACAGTCTTAAATGCAAGCATTACAATCTGGAACAGATCATTCATATGTTTAGACTTCAAGTCAATCTTAATAGTAGATATATCAATCTGAAAGAGTAATTCAAGTTAGATAGTCATTAAAAGTCGTTTCTGTAACAAAACTTATTTACTAGTTAGGGTGTTAACCGTAAGCTAAACCTTCTACGTGAAGGGTCGGGTTGTTCTGTTGGGGTTTTCCATCCCTTAGACAATTGCAGTTTCATTGCTTACGAATTCCATCTATCCTGATTTTCTGTCTGGATTTACTTTCCTAGCCTTTGACTTTCCCAAGTCACCCACAAGGCAGTAGGGCTATTTCACCCATAGCCCTATGTCCCCCATTGGATAAAGTGGAATAGTGAGGTAAGTCAGACATAAAAAGTAAACTTTATAGCACTGAAGTACCTGGGAAAAACTGCCTATGAAGTCTTTATGATTTGTACCTTTACCTTATAACTATACCGAAACTATACTGATTTTTGGTATACTGGTCTGACAATTAACCTCTAGATGTGACCTTGACCTTACGAATACCAAGCCGCAAGAGACCATGACACAGAAACTTTCATTGCATCATGTTCAACAGGTCTCGGCAAGGTGTAACAGTTGCAGTCAGAATTGGCTTATAAACTGAGCCTCCTTTGCTTGAGCTTACAATTTTTTTACAAATCTTTCTCCTGCCAGGATGGAATTAGAATTGGCAGCATTTCTCACCTTTAGACACCTTACTGTGGTATTTGATGAAGTGAAGGGGACAAATATCACACATTCATTGGGTTGTCATTGTGATGAAGGGACAAATATCACACATTCATTCAGTTGTCATTGTGATGAAGGGGACAAAAATCACACATTCATCAGGTTGTCATTGTGATGAAGGGGACAAATATCACTCATCAGGTTGTCATTGTGATGAAGGGGACAAATATCACTCATTTGGTTGTCATTGTGATGAAGGGGACAAATATCACCCATTCATCGGGTTGTCATTGTGATGAAGGGGACAAAAATCACCCATTCATCAGGTTGTCATTGTGATGAAGGGGACAAATCTCACACATTCATCGGGTTGTCATTGTGATGAAGGGACAAATATCTCACATTCATTCAGTTGTCATTGTGATGAAGGGGAGAAAAATCACACATTCATCAGGTTGTCATTGTGATAAAGGGACAAATATCACTCATTCATTAGTTTGTCATTGTAATGAAGGGACAACTATCACTCATTTGGTTGTCATTGTAATGAAGGGGACAAATATCACTCATTGGGTTGTCATTGTGATGAAGGGGACAAAAATCACACATTCATCAGGTTGTCATTGTGATGAAGGGGACAAAAATCACACATTCATCAGGTTGTCATTGTGATGAAGGGGACAAACATCACTCATTTGGTTGTCATTGTGATGCAGGGGACAAATATCACACATTCATTGGGTTGTCATTGTGATGAAGGATTGAAGGGACAAATATCACTCATTTGGTTGTCATTGTGATGAATGGACAAATATCACTCATTTGGTTGTCATTGTGATGAATGGACAAATATCACTCATTTGGTTGTCATTGTGATAAAGGGACAAATATCACTCATTCATCGGGTTGTCATTGTGATGAAGGGACAAATATAACACATATGGTTGTCATTGTGATGAAGGGGACAAATATCATTCATTAGGTTGTCATTGTAATGAAGGGACAACTATCACTCATTAGGTTGTCATTGTGATAAAGGGACAAATATCACTCATTCATTAGGTTGTCATTGTAATGAAGGGACAACTATCACTCATTTGGGTGTCATTGTAATGAAGGGGACAAATATCCCTCATTGGGTTGTCATTGTGATGAAGGGACAAATATCACTCATTTCGTTGTCATTGTGATGAAGGGGACAAATAACACTCATTGGGTTGTCATTGTGATGAAGGGACAAATATCACTCATTTGGTTGTCATTGTGATGAAGGGGACAAATATCACTCATTGGGTTGTCATTGTGATGAAGGGGACAAATAACACTCATTCATTGGGTTGTCATTGTGATGAAGGCAAAAGAGCATGCATCAGACACATGGAAATCTAAATTAAAGATTAGTCATTTAGTTGTACGTATTTATCAGACATCTACCAAAGATAAGCTTAACTGGTACAAAAGGACATGATGACGTAATCTGTATTATCGCCTTCCACATAAATCAAAGCACACTGTTAAATCATCACATGTCTAGCAGCACACAAGGTGTGAGAGTTAGAGTATAACTTGGTTATACTTGATAAAACTGTCAGCGACTGGCTATGAAATAGAAGAATAACACCCTAGAAACGTGAAGCTTGTATTGATTTATGGGGCCAAAGTCAAAATGTTCATCCCTGAAAACTATTGACATCGTTTTTATACTGATTCATTTGTGGAGTTTTCAGTAGATGTGCAATAAAGCACATCAGCCTTAAGTGCAGCAAAATAACTTTTATTTAATGTTAGAGTGAGATACAGTAAAAACAGGTCACTATTATAGATCATCAATGTATACTCCAAAGTATTTGGTCACCAGGATAAAGCTATTCTACACTCTACTGTAATAGATCATATAGATATAGCTATTCTACACTTTTCTGTAATAGATTGTATTGATATAGCTATTCTACACTCTACTGTAATAGATCATATAGATATAGCTATTCTACACTTTACTGTAATAGATTGTATTGATATAGCTATTCTACACTCTACTGTAATAGATCATATAGTTTTGCTATTCTACACTTTACTGTAATAGATCATATAGATATAGATATTCTACACTTTACTGTAATAGATCATATAGATATAGCTATTCTACACTTTACTGTAATAGATCATATCGATATAGCTATTCTACACTTTACTGTGATAGATCATATAGATATAGCTATTCTACACTTTACTGTAATAGATCATATAGATATAGCTATTCTACACTTTACTGTTATAGATCATATATATATAGCTATCCTCTCCAGTACAGGATCATCAGTACATTCCTAAACTCTTCATGTAGAAAAAGGTCATCTGGGTATAGTTCTATAAATAGTCACTACCTACTGTAATTGGTCATCTGGGTACATGTATGTACCAGTAGCTATATGATCATATACATCAAAAATCAAAATCAGTATCATTAAGGACCGCTGTACCACTGCTGGCAATGCACTAGAGAATTCCAACATGTTTTTTCTTATATACAGTAATTTCCCTTTCGTTTTGGATATAAATGTAGCACAATTGGACCAGGAACTACTACTGTTGACCAGGTAGCTCAATTGATTATAGTAATAGTTTATAATTTCCAATCTGAGGCCCAGGGTTCGAGTCCTGGTCTATAGCTATAGCCATCTTGAATGTTTACACATGGAACACTGTTGTGCCTAGTTTTCTATATCAAAGCTGTAGACATGCCAAACAGTTCCCAATGCATAGTTCCAGTTTTACACCGTTTACCGTTCAGTGGTAACGGCACATGCTTTTTGATAATAATTGTGAACCTGGCTAGCTAATATGCAGTGTGTGACTTCATCGTGACCTTGTTTACCTGATTATATTTGGTGACCTTGCTTTAACATAGTGTAACTTTGTGTCAACATAGTTTAATATTTTTATCATTGTGAACCTGGCTATCAAACATGCAGTGTGACTTGTAATACAAAATTTACCTTTAAACTCCGATTAGTATGCTAAAATCTTTTTAAGTACTTCATTCAATATAACCACCAGCCAACCACCGCTGAACTTCTAATTCTACACTTAACCCACACACCAAAAACAGTCAATTTACTTATTGACATTCAACACGCAAAAAACGTTCATTCTCATTTGTTTCTGAAATCCCACAGCAAATCTAAAAGTAAGATTGAGCATTAAATTTTTACATGACAAATGTGATGGAAGCATGCAACAATGTAGTTACAGTGAGTGTCCTATTCTAAGGGCATCATGTACAGTACTGGGTCGGGCAACCGCCCACAATAATCTATTTATATCGCCTCGTGTCCTGAGGGCGGCATGTACAGACCATCATAGAACTGCCAACAGTGACGTAGTTACAGCTCTGTAGTATGAAGGTGGCATGTACAGTAGTGTCAGAAAACCATTTATGTTTTCAGTACATGTACCTTCTTTTTCTGACCACTTTATGAAACCATTGTTCATCAGGGAAAACAGAATTTGATCAAAGAACTATCATTATACATGTATTGTACTTTCCAGAACCACAGAACTCAGAGTGTCAGGAAAACAATGAAATTTGAGAGTTGACAGATAACAACAATACTCACTTGTCAGGGAATGATAGTTTCTAGTTGTCAGGGAATCAAAGAATGTGGTTGTCAAAAAAATACAGTACTTGGTCATATAAGGTGGCCATAGCACTTCATCAAGGATTCGTAGAAATTATTTGTCAGCCAATTAGGAAACTACTGTTCTTGGTTGTCAGGAAACTACAGTACTATGTTGTTAAGAACTACAGTACTTCATCGAGGAACTAGGTTTTCAGGGAAAGACATATCTTGGTCCTAAGGAAACCACAAAATGCAGTTATCAGGGAAACAGCTAGTACTCCATTGTTAAGGAAACCACAATTAACACTCAGTTGTCGGAGACCATAGA